CTGGCGAAACATTAGGAAACAAAACTTCAAGAACACGGCCACACAGCCTGGAAGACCCACACCAGCCATCGTATGCCGGCCGTGAAAGCCTTCGACAATACATTGAATCTTAGAGAGGTTATTTTCTCTTTCTCTTCCTCCTGCTGGATAAAAATCATCTTATTCTGAAAAACAATTTAAGAAACAACCAGTATTCTTCAGAATGTGTTGATCTGCAAACCCTTATTTAAGGTCCATTTCTTTTCATGTGATGCTGCATTTTCCACTTATTTACAACACAGCCAGTTAAATTAGGTCCCTGTCCATTAATGGGACAATCCTACCACAGAACTTTTAAAAGGGCATCTTACAGCAAAGTTTATTATAGATCAACATTTCTCTTTATGCTGTGAAAGGATGTTCTTTTGTTTCAGGACTGATGAAAGACCAATGGATTATTTTATTTCAGAGATAGATCCAAGCTATAAAAAGAAGCGGACTGGCCATCTTTGATTAATCCCAGGGTTGAATTCTTCAAACTATTACAGAATTTAGGGTTTTGTGTTGACTCTGAAGTTTTCCCGATCAATGCAGATGTAACAGTGTCAGTCTGCTAAAAAAATCCAAATTGATTTCAGAACTTCATGTCCCATTTCCTTGTGAAAGCTTTAATTGTACCACTAAAATTTACAACTTTGGAAGGTGCACCAAGGCTTTGGAAGGCGACAGCTTCTGCATACTTGCTTTAAATCAGATGTGGCAACTTGTAGCCCACATGTGTGTCCTGAGACCCATTTCTGCAGCTTCTAGAGTCTGGCAATATTGTGCCACAGTTAATTTGCCACAGTTAAATACTTTTTGCCCTGCCCTTTCTGGTGATACTACTATATCACTTCCATGCTTTTTGTGATCCCAAAGGCCATTTTTTTAAAGAAGACAAAGTATGCATACTCCCTAACTGAAAAATATGCTTAACTCCACTTTAAATCCTAGTTAAAAGTTAGCATTTAGTACAGCTAACCGTAGTTAATGTCAGACATAACAATTAGTCATTTGGAAAGGATGCAATTACCACTCACATTTGCGAGGAGAAGAACTACAAGGAATATGTGAATCTAGGGTCTCCTCCTGATCTCTTCAATTGAGTGAAGAGACAGGAACTGTGACATCTATTCTGGTCTTGAGAATCCTGAACTTCATTAGTAAATCTATTCACAATGGAACAGATAAGATCCAGACATGACTTTCTTTATCTGTGTAAAAATACATTTAAATCTGTCTCTATTTTTTTTTCCTAAAGTGGTTTACAAAATGCTTAATTTAGATCCAAGTTAGCTATATTTTGGGTTTCAGCTGAAGACATGGCAATTTTTTAAAAACAATCTATTCAATGGAAAAAACCTTTCCCTCAGAAAAAGATGAAACCAGAAGAGCACCACTGCTTTCTGCTTAACAGAACACAAGTCTACTAATTAAAAACAAAAAGACAATACAGAGTTTAGAGACTGCAGAAAACCCAATCCTTGCTAGTTGGGCCCTATCCATCATAATAACGAGAAGAAAGCTAAAAAAAAAAAAAATGGTTTCCTACTAAATAGAAAAAATAGCAGTAAGTAATTTAAAAGACAAAATCTTGATTGATAGCCCCTGCAGGAACACACCAGTGCTCTCTATTGTTTTCCCACTAACTTGCTGAAAACATCATAGACTTCTGGTTTCTCTTGTGCAAACTGCCCCACTGTATTCTTCTGCAACCAATCAGATGAGCGCATTTGTTGCTGAAGGAGACCAATCAGGTCACCAAGGGTGGAACTCCCAGAGGAAGTTGGTTCCTGGTGGTGAGACACAAAGATCACTTCATCTGTGCTGTCTACTGTGGCTTCCGATTCAGACTGACACAACTGATCTTTATCTTCATTCAGGATTTCATGCTCCTGTTCTTCTAGTACTTCACAGATTCTCTGCATCCCTGGAAGAAAGGGTGGGGAATGGAGAGTAAGGGAAATAGACAGGATGAAATAAAAGTTGGATGCAGATGTGGAACTATGATGATAAAGCTTCCAAGTAGTGGCAACACTAGAAAGTTTACTAACATCGCAGTCAAGTAAAGAACCTGCAGCTTACTACTTTTTGTTTCACTTCAAATTAAAAAGTTGATCATCACATGATCCAAACCTTTCTGGGGCAGTACCATATTCTGACTATCGTAATACATTGTACACAGGGATGCTGTTGAAAAGAAAATATGTCCAGAAAGCTCAAATGATATGCAGAATGGAGCAGCCATGCTATCCTAGAGCTGACTAATAAAAACATAGTGCTCTTTGGCTAAAAAAAATTTAGTGGCTTCTCAGTTCCAGGGCTCAGTTGAAGTTCTGGTTTTTGACCTGGCACCAGGTTATGAAAGGGATGTGTTTCACAGACGTTAAACTGCCCTTCATAAGTTCTTCAGAGACCTTTCCCCTAGTATCCTTAGCTTAGGAGATACGGGCAGCTAAAGAAAGATGAGAGGATCTTTTCAGCATTGGTGCCCAAGTTATGGAACTGCCTCCCAAGGAATATTTTATCTGGTGACTTTTTTTCTTTGTTATTTATAGGCATCAACAGAAGGACCCTAATTCTTCCTAGAATCAAACACCTTTCGATTGCTTTTTATCAGATCTTCACTGGGGCTTCAAATGCATGTATCTCATATTTGTTTTAGCTTGTTTTTGTATCATTAAGTTGCCTTGAAGCTATCAGGCAGGAGGAAGGCAGAATAGTAGTCTAAAAAGATTATGTCAGGTCTTAATGAGAATGCTAAAAGAAGAGTTCAAATTTATTTTGAGATGGAAAGGAAAATATTCCTTCAAATGCTTTCTTCTTTCCTCACAGATTAATTTGGATTGCTCCTTTCTCCAGCTTTTTATTTTTTATATATATAATTTTTATTGAAAGAAAAATTTACACATGATTAAAAAACTATAGAAACTTGAACTGAAAAATAGAAAAAAGATATAAAAGCATAAAAGGAAAAGTGAGGAGCAGCATTAACTAGGTCTTTTAGGTGGAGATTGAATGAATCTATTCTGCAAAAAGAACATGTTGTGGAGGACTGCAAGAAGAAACTAAATGACTTTTTTGAGATTAATCTAGATGATAAAGGTGTAGATTTAAAAACAGTGTGGGATACCAGTAAAGCGGTTATGAAGGGAAATTTTATTTTTCATAATCGTATTCTCAAGCGAAAGTCTCAACAAAAATTACAAATGGTTTTAGATCAGATCAAGTTGAAGGAGAAGGAACTCCAGGAAAAAAAGTCTGATAATAATATTGTTTATCATCTCAAGTTACTACACCAACAAATTTCAATGTTGACTGTGAAAGAAATTGAAATGAAATTAAGATATGCTAGAAGGAAATGTGGAATTATTGGATAATGAAAAGATAAAAAAGCATTTCATAATTTCTTTTCTAATTTATATAAAAAACAAGAAATTTCTTTGGAAAAGGTTGATGAATATTTGAATAAACAAAATTTACCAAAACTTTCACAACCACAGGATCCTCTTTTAATTAAGAATTATAGACCAATTTCACTGTTGAACAATGATTATAAAATATTTG